ATATTAACAAGCTGGTTAAGTGGCACATAGCTTACCCTGCTGACAACCTTTAACATCCTGCGTAATAAGATATAGTCTTTCTTCAGTAGCCCTGGAAAAACTAAGGGGGAACAATAGAGAATAATATGCAGAATGCGAGAGTTAACGAATTGTAGGAGTAAGGGTTAGGTTATACCAGAATATCTCAACTTCTTGATGTAGAAGGTAAGACGGAATATTTTCTTAGAAATCGCCAAGATATGAGACGACCAGGAAAGATCAGTAGATAGAATGACGCCTAGGTATTTGATTTCCGACTTGGTTTCTATTACAGTGCCATCTATGTTGCACACCTCGTGAGAGCCAACCAGTTTGTTATATTAGATTTCTGTAATTTGGATTTGATTCAATTTTAATTAATTAAAAGTACCAAAATTAACTAACCAGTTCATCATATGCAAGCAAACCTACAACAAACTATTGCGTAAATGTCACCAGTTGACATTCAGTTCTTCCCATGATTAAGTGTATATCCAGTAGGGATGGAGAGTAACAGGTGCAGTGAAAGTGCAACATTAAATTTTATTCAAAAGTATGTATGTGAACACTTGTGTGTGTGTACTACACAGGATTCCAAGCATGCATTAGACCCTAGGAAATGTCACATTGCTCAGTATTCCAAAAATGTTTCTTCAGATAATCACTTGTTAACATTTGGCTGATGTAATCAGATGAATGCATTCAAGACGACAAAGAATTAGACAATTACGGTTGGTAAAGAATGCAAGGATTATCACATATATACAAATCATTATGCTGAAGAGGGGAGGGGTAACTGGAATTTCACGGCTAAACAATTAGTCCTATATGGAACTTCATAATCAAAACTGAAGAAGACAGTCTATAACGCAAACACTTATTTTCTCTCCTACCATTACATAATAAAGGATTGAGAGGAAGGAACTGAGATGTCGGATGACGGTTTCCTACAAACAGTGAAAAACTTATATAGAAGAATTAGTATTGGAGACGGTCAAATGACAGTTATGATTCTGTAGTGAAAACCGAAAAGGTTTTAGATTGTAATACATCATTTTGAACGTCAAGTCAGTTCTTCTATACGGATCAGAAACTCGGCGGGTCACAAAGAATATTTCCAACAGCCTGTTGCAGATCTTTATCAACAATTGTCTTCGCTCTATACTGAAGATCAGATGGCCGGAAAGAATCACCAACAAGAAACTATGGGAACAAACAAAACAAGAACCAATAGCCCAATAAATATGCAGGAGAAAGTGGAGATGGATTGGACACTCGCTGAGGAGGCCACTGGGTGACATCGCGCGTCAGGCCATCACTCGAGTGGAACCCAAAAGAGAAGTGGCGAGTTGGTCGTCAGTGCAAGGGTGACATGGAGGAGGTCGTGTGAAGAGGAGTTGAAACAGTATGGATTAACATGGACGCAGGTGGAAAGTACAGCACAAGACAGAAGCAAGTGAAGACGTGCAGTTGAAGCCCTATGTTCCACTAGGAACCCAAGGGAACAATGATAATAATAATTTTGAACTGAACAGACAATGACCAACTGAAAACCATCATATCGGTGTATAACCAGATAGTTACAAGAGATAAGTGAATAATAATTGTAATAATAAGTCTAGTAGAGAGGGGTGGGGGACCTTAAGAAATGGCTTGACTGTTTGAGCAAAAAAGACGAAGTCATAGGCGAATATTTCAAAACTTGATTGTCATGTGAGTATTAGTAGAGAAATAATCGCGATTATAGGACATACTTGGGTAACAACAGAATAGTAACGAGTAAACTTTGTCGAAGATCGACATCATTTGAGTTTGATTCCCTCAATTAAGTTATACATGTCCAAACCAAGTTCACTTTTAACGGTTTGAAAAAATTTGGGCATTGAGTAATAAAGGTTTATGTATTTCGCAATGAATGAAAAACATGAAAAGCATCTCTTCGACCACCAAGAAATCCGGTTGAACTAGAAAAACTAGAAAACTCATCAGCCATGGGTCTAGACGCTATAGAATCAGGCCACAAAATTGATTTTGACAATGTTGAAATAATCCAGAAAAGCTTCAGAAATCACAAAGAACGTCTAATATCAGAAGCACTTCATATCAAGTGGAAGCAAAATTGCCTGAAAAGGAATGATGGACTAAAACAGAATCTGACCTCGTTACAACAACTCCCTCCCCCATGAAGTGACAAAATCAACACGAATGTGATAAGCAAGTTCACTATGTAAACACACACTGCCTTTATAATTTTACACACTGATCAAATCCAACAATCCACACTTGATTTTGTTATCTTTACCAATTGACCAACTTGACAACGAAAAGTGCCCCCAGACTGACGAACGATGATCAAGTTAGTAAATTTTATTTTGATACCATAACAGACGTACTATTACCTCTATTATTTGGTTTAGTGATCTTCATTGCTATTTTTACTATCAATATGTTCCTTTAACTTGACCTATGTCTATTTTCTCACCCTCTAACTGTTTGTTATATGTATGCTGAGATTTTGTAAATTCCGGTTTAATAATACTTTGATAAAGCTATTAGCATTAAATAGCGAAACGTCAGTAAAAACAATATCGTTTTGTTTTTCATTCATTGGGAAATATAAAAACCTTTATTATAATTGATTTCCTCAAGTTCAGATTGGAAGGTGTGATTAGTGTAGTTTGTTGAATCGCATCTCTACATTAGTGCTTACTGATGGCAGTATTTGGTGATAGATTACGAATTGTCAGAATTCGAAATCCGTAGTCCACTAAATTTTGAGGCTTACCATATAAATTCAAACCTGTCAGACATTAGATTATCCCCTAAATAAGATTTAGTTGAACATATTTTGTTAGTGTCTTAATTAGGATCAGTAAAAATGTTCATTGGACAAATAAGACAAAAAATCACAACTATCCATGCAGACACTTTTCAGATTACAGGGAATCCTTTTGCCAGTTTGATACCACTGTATAGTATGGTGATTTCGCTTTGCTCACTGTACGCGTCTGTTTACTAGTAACTGTCAAACATTAAAAAAAAACCCAAAGTTCAATCATATTCTAAAAGTGACTCGGTGTAGTCCTGCAGCTCCGAATGAATACATGAAAAAATATACAAGAATAATAACACCTAATGAGCAGTAAGTGATGTAATAACTTATGATTGAAGGTGAAAGAAAAATCTGGTTTGCAGCAGGAATCATACCAGCGGACACCGAACTATTTACCATTAGCTACGAAACCCAGATGACAACCACGTGTTTATTTCTGTGCAGTCGTCTCCAGCTGGTAAATTACTCGATTAGTAAACCGAAGGTCGGTGGTTCGAATCCTCTTGTGATTCCTTTCTTCATTTCACCCACAGTCATCATCCATTATATCAATAGTATTGAGCTAATGCACGGTTATCCAAGACAGCCTGATAATTTTCATGATAATTTACGGGACTGTAGAGAAAAATTATAGAGACTCGATAGAATATATGCGTAAAACTTGGGCACTGTGGTAGTTAGTAATTCCATGTTAGTTTGTTTACTATATATATCACACAGTGAGTGAAACAGTATTACTATTTACTGAATGACAATGTTTCGAACACAATTTATTGTGGTTCAAAATCGTATCAGTTGTGATCACACGACTTTGAAACTTGAGTTTTATGGTTTTCTTTGTTTTCTCCTATTTGTCATATGGGTAGTAGAATTTTCCAGATATCGGGGACAGGTGATGAGTCATTCCTATTACATGTATTTGCAGTTGATTCGATAAACAAAGCTTATGTTATCAATCTCTCCGTATACCGTGTTACATTACATTTTGAAACTGTCATCTTATTCCACCCATCCTGTTGTATGGTTGTGTGTAATTGCATGCAGTGAGCGGTATGGCTGAACTATTCTCTAGATTTCTTATCTTATTTGGATCAACCAATCTAGATTTTGCTAAGTTTTTATGTTCAGCTAGTCTGACCTTTGTATTTGACCTGACAATCATTGGAGGCAGGGTATTAGATAAACTAAATTGTTTTGTTTTAAAGGCTCCACAGGATCCTTTAACCGACAAAGCTTGTTTCTAATTGAGTTTGTGGGTAATTGAATGCCATTTTTATTCCTGCCTTGTTAAGAATTCTGCGTAAGGCTTCCAAGGTTCCTTCCTTGTATGGAATTACTACTGATGATTTAGATTCCTTATTGTTGGTGTTGTCTTGAGCATATTTGCCATGCATGTCGTCATTAATATTACTTTTATCTTTATCGAATCAACTGCAGATACGTGTAATAGGAATGATTCAACACCTGTCCCAGATATCTGGAAAATTCGTGCTACCCCAACGACGACAAATAGGAGAGAGAACAAAGAAAACTACAAAACTCAAGTTTCGAAATCTTGTGGTTATAATTGGCGATATGAACATTATGAACAATAAATTGTGTTCGAAACATTGTCATCCAGTTAATAATAATACTGTTTCACTGTGTGAGATATCTAATAAACAAACTAGTATGGAAAGACTAGATAGAAACCCATATATTACGATGGTTGATTCCTAATCATTTTGAGTGTTTGCATACTGAAGTGAATTCTGCTAGACACATAATACAAATGTGCATTGATGGCTTAGCAGCAAACTGTTCATCAACCACCACGCCACACGTGGTCTAGGGTGCTACCCCCGGCCAACGCACTCCCTTACCTCGCTAAATCGGTAATGAGACTGGTAAAGAGGGAAGGTTGGGTAGGAGACTAGCAACCCCATCCAATAAAAATAAACCTCACTGTTACCAAAACTTCGAAGCTCTAGCTTGAAGCCGTATATTCCACATGCTAACATAAAGTAATGAAATGAATAATATTTTTTTATTTATTCCTTCACGTTCCCAGTGGAACATAGGGCTTCAAGCTAGAGGCTTGAAGTTTCTGTAGCAGTGTTTATTTTTACAGGTGAATTACTAAACACAGGAGAAAATTGAGCAAACTCACTTATTTGACGAAAGTAATCAGATCCACTTTACTGTCTAATATTCAGTGAATTTATATGTATCAGTATATCTTTGTGTCCAAAACAAGTCCGTTAGAATTATAATTAGAAGGAAAATATATTAAAAAGGTTTTATTGCTTATTATATCTCCTGTTATATTAGTATCCGTTTATATAGTCGACTCTGAAGTGAATAAAAATATTCATTTCATTGTTCACGTTTTACATCAAAAATTCTGCCTCTTTTAGTGAACCAATCAGAACCTTTTCTTATGATTGGCACAAATATTAGCCAATCAAAAACCACTTAGCTAGTAGTGTGTACAAAATTAATTTGAATGTTTGTTTATTCGACACGAAAAGACAAGAAAGACACTGAGGGTAATAAAATGTGATTACAGAAAAATCATCCAGTAATAATATTTAGATATTTGAAAAAAATTTATGAAGAAGTATGTCTCCTTACAGATTTCATAGCTGTTTAAAATATTTCTTTTCTTTTAAAAAAAATTCATAAAAGAGATTTTGCTCAGTCCATGTGTTTCACTGTTTAGTGCAGACACAAATATTTTCAAATCTTAAGGATATTAAAATCATACATCAGTCCAATGAACATCGTGTGCAAATGGATGTATAGACATTCATTTTAAGTTAACTACACAGAACTAGTGATTCATCAGTGAATTTTTGACCTCAGTTTTACTGATTAATAGAATATCGTTTGCATTTGACAAATGCAAATGTACAAAAGACATGAAATCTGGCTGACAACAGAATGAAATTAGGAAAGCTTTTTTAAAAAATGCTAATTATTTCTTGTTGTTGTTGTTTTGTTTTGTTTTCAAGAGACTATTTAAGACGTATTTTTTGAACAGCTGCTTCGTTTAGGAATTTATTTATGCCAACAGTCAGCAATTTGAACGATGTATGATATTAGTCGTAGTAATAAAATGTTGTTTAGCTACTGATCATAGCAATGATCGTTAAATAATTTTATTTATTTATTTTATTCTTCTGCGTTCCCAGTCAATAATAGGGCTTCAAGCTTGAGGCTTGAAGTTCCGGTAGCGGTAGTGTTCATTTTTACAGGATAAGGTTGCTAGCCTCATGCCCAACCTTCCCTCTCCACCAGTTTTATTATCGGTTTAACGAGGTGAAGGAGTGCATCGGCCTGGGTTCGAACCCTGGACCACGTGCGGCGTGGTTGGCGAGCATTCTACCTCTGTACTGCCAACGCATTTGGTTAATATCTGCTGAAGAAATCACTAAACATTAAAATGATTCTGGCTAAGCGCTCAACACTAAGTAGTACTGCATTCTACGTCCCATGACTGATAAATCAGAGTTAAGGAAAACTTGTAAAGATACGCAGAGAATGTATATACGAGCAGTTGGTCTGTTGCAGACTGTGGGAGGAATTTATTTTACATATCAAGTCCTAAGCGAAAACTTTCAGGAAATACATCTTCCTGTGACATCCAACTAGAACGTTTACAGGTAGACCCGCCACCGTACACCAAACTGGTAAACTATTACCAACAAATAACCGAATTAGTTAATGAAGGAAAGAAAAGATTTTAATGCATTATTCAAGTTGGGAATAGTAAGAGACGTAATCCTGTATGATTAGTAGATTCCTTTTCAGCATAGCTCTAGATCACATTTGCAAAGAAACCATTCAGTAGTTCTTGAATTGGGATTAGACTTAGTTTAAGTATTTACATAAACCTAAAAAGCAGTTAACTCTTTCCATTGACTATATAAGGAGGTAAATCGTTTAGCACTTTAGTGTTGTGTTCATTGCAAGGTTAACAGAATTAAATCACACCAGTTAGTTGTCAGGCAGTTGTCTAGTAATTCTCCTATTCATATGTGAATGGACTCATTACATTTGAAAGCAAATTAGATCTCTGCAATTATCATTATTACTATTATTCCCTTAGTACTTCATCAACACGTTCGCATTACACAATCTTCTCTGAAGTCCTTTTAAGTTGGGTCCACGATCGCCCATTAGATCTTATCTCCTCCTCATACGATCTACTGCACGCCAACTTCAGACGCTCAACTCATCTTTACAAATTCGTAGTGAACTTGAGAGCCTGGAACATCATATCAATTGGTGAGCCTCTCAGAGTTTATCCAATCCATCTCCATTTCTTTTGGCATATTTGTTGGGCAGTTGGTTCCTGGTTGGATATTTGCTAGAGTTCCTGAGTGCTTATACTTTCTGGCCATCTTATTTTCAGTGTCCAGGCAGCACAAACAACTCTTAGTGAAAGCCTGCAACATACTACTAAAAGTGCTTTCAGTAAAACACCAGTCCTATAAACTATATAGAGGAACTAAATGACTTGACATTAATGTTGAAAATCTGAAATTACTTCCTAATGATAAGGGCAGCAGATTTCCAGACTGATCTCAGACTAATGAAAGTCTATCTTATTTTTCCGACCCCACTTTTGATACATTCATATGTACCGCTTGAAGTTGAAACGATGCTACCTAAATAAGCGAAAGAGTTAAACTCATTCAAATTTCTTCCGTTGACGTTCACCTAGAGTCTTTTTTTCCCTGCTTCTGCTGTTGACGTGCTGGTTTCTGCCTTCAGATGTCTAAACTGTTGTCATCATGATTGTGGAGCACAAATAGTAGTTAAACCATTCAGCACAAATAACACAGTAACATCCTATTCACGATGTTAGTTCACAGATGATAACTATGGTTATACTTAAGATTCAAAGTTTACAAAATTAACTTATCACCAAGGTGGTTTTTGTTTAATTAGAAACTACGATACAAGTGATATATGTGTCCTTTCCCTCCTATTCCACCACAATATTTGCAAAGAATAATTAAGAACAGTAACTGAAATCTTATTATTTGTTAAGATTATTTTGTATTTCTCACTGACCGATATTTTATAATAATAATAATAATTTGCTTTATTCCAAAACAGTACTTGTGATACAGAATGGAATTCTCAGCATTTTTACTACAGTATTGCATCCAGTTTGTACATTATCAATAAATAGAATTCTACATAGATTGAGGAAATCACAGTTCATTATTGCAACAACACATTGGCATGTCGGTAGCAAAGCCAAAGTTGAACAGTGTTTGAAGGTGTTAGAAAAGTAGGTGCTATCATATTTACTGGCGTAAGCGAGAGAAAGAAACAAAGCAGCACATAACGGAATAAAAGAAAAGAGAGAGAAAAGGAAAAGAAAGAAAATGTTGTACCTATACATGATATGCTTTGGAAAGACGAGGTCCAGTTGTACTACTGACTTTATCACACAGAACACGAGCTAAGTAGGGTATGGTTGAGTTTTTGTACTTACTGGTGCGAGCATATAGTTTTCTATATAGGCTTCTGGTTTTGCCTGATTAGATGCATGGGGGAGAGTTATGAGTGAAGAGGGTGTTGTGAGTTAGATAAAATGGATTTGGCCCATTTTTCACATGAGTCTATGTGCCTGTCGACCGGAATATTAACAAGCTGGTTAAGTGGCACGTTGTTTACCCTGCTGACAACCTTTAACATCCTGCGTAATAAGGTATAGTCTTTCTTCAGTAGCCCGGGAAAAACTAAGGGGGAACAATAGAGAATAATAGGCAGAATGCGAGAGTTAACGAATTGTAGGAGTAAGGGTTGGGTTATACCAGAATGTCTTAACTTCTTGATGTAGAAGATAAGACGGAATTTTTATGCTCTGTCTCACTTGGCACTTCAGTTTCTGCACCCTCACTGTGCATTATTGTTCCTCCTGAAAGTCGAAGTCAGAGCCAAAAGGTTATCCGATAAGGTACAAAACCACGAGAGTCATCTCTACAGCAACCGGTATCAGTCATTGTTCATTGAGGTTATTTTTTCTATTTCCTGCTGAATGATTTTGATCAGGCAGAAATATTCAATCTCTGATAACTGAAATTATCAAATAAGAAAAAACAAAAGTACTCGATTCAGCTTGTTGCAGACCTTCATCAACAACTGTCTTCGTTCCATACTCAAGATCAGATGGCCGGAAAGAACAAGAACCAACAAGAAACTATTGGGAGAAACAAAACAAGAATCAATCGCTCAACAAATATGCAGGAGAACGTGGAGATGGATTGGACACTCGCTGAGGAGGCCGTTGGGTGACATCACGCGTCAGGCCATCACTCGAGTGGAACCCGAAAGGGAAGCGGTGAGTGGAACGTCGAAGGGTGACATGGAGGAGATCGTGTGAAGAGGAGTTGAAACAGTTTGGACTAACATGGATGCAGGTGAAAAGTACAACAGAAGACAGAAGCAAGTGGAGACGTGTAGTTGAAGCCCTATGTTCCACTAGGAACCCAAGGGAACAATAATAATATATTATAAAATGAATATTTTGAGAGACAGCCTCAGTATTTGATCGGGAAAGGGAAGAATACACTGATTTATAACATTTCCCAAGTTATTTACTCAGGAAATTTCTAAATCACACTGCTGGACATCTTAGGCAAGAAAGAACAAGTACAACTTTAAAAAATTTGTTAATCATTATGAGCGAAGTATCTCCATTGTGTTTTGATTAAACTGCTTCACATAATCTTGGATTATGATAGGAGGAGAGTTTCTGATATTGACCACTGTTCTTTATCTCACTGAAGTAAGTATTCTTTCCAATAAAAATGGCAGATTATGATTACCAGACCATAAAATGAAAAATAACTAGCAATATTCCATATTAGTTTGTTTATTAGATATATCACACAGTGAGTGAAACAGTATTATTTACTGGATGACAAGGTTTAGAACACAATTTAATATTGTTCATAATCATATCGCCAATTATAATCACACGACTTTGAAACTTGAGTTTTATAGTTTTCTTTGTTCTCTCCTATTTGTCGTCGTTGGGGTAGCACGAATTTTCCAGATATCTGGGTGGAGAGGTGTTGAATCATTCCTACTGCAAATATTCTCTTTCAGTTGATTCGATAAATAAAGCTTCCGTTATCAATCTCTTCCTCCACGCTGTTACATTAGATTTTAAAACTGTCATCCTATCCCATCCATCCTATTGTATGGTTGTGTGTAATTGCATGTAGTGAGTGGTATGGCTGAACTATTCTCTAGATTTCTTATCTTATTCGGGTCAGCTAATCTAGATTTTGCTAGGTTTTTATACTCCGCTTGTCTGACTGTCTGCTGCAAGGTTTGACCAAAGAAA